GAGTGGGACAGCCGTGACAAGACTCAACATTGGGTCATAAAAGAATGGCCAAAAAGACAAAATGTTGACCCAGGCACCAAGAACGTTATTCGAAACAGCTTAGTTGATCCGAAAAAAGTATTGTTACTTCCGCTACAAATAAAATTAGGTGTAATGAAGCAGTCTGTCAAGGCTGTTCCAAGAGATGGCATTTGTTTCAAATACCTGTGCAAAAAGTTTCCAGGTTTATCCCAAGCTAAGTTGAAAGAAGGAATATTTGTTGGTCCAGATATCCGCAAACTCATAAAGGATAAAGAATTTGAGACTAACATTACAGAAACGGAAATAGAAGCTTGGGTTGCTTTCAAAGATGTCGTCAGTAAATTTCTGGGTAATTACAAGGATCCTGATTATAAGGAAATTGTAATGAAAATGCTGGACATATTTAAAACGTTGGGTTGCTCCATGAGTGTAAAAATGCATTTCCTTCACTCACGTGTGGACTTTTTCCCTGAAAATTTAGGAGCAGTAAGCGAAGAACAAGGGGAAAGGTTCCATCAAGATATCAGAGATATTTAGGGTAAATGTCAAGGAAGATGGGACAAGAACATGTTCACTGACTACTGTTGGATGATAGCTCGGGATAAACCTGAGATTAAGCATGAAAGAAGATCATCAAAAATAAGTTTCAGAGAAAAACGAGTATATACTTAAATAGAAACTTTTCTCTTTTTTTTCTTCTTTTTTTTGTTGCTTGTTTTGTTTTTGTTTCTAACTTTCTCATACACATACACAATATTTGTTATTCTTGGTTAATCGTCAATTTTACGTAAGTTATCTCAATTAAAACAAATTGAAATAGTATGTTGGTGATTTTCTTCTAGAAACTGATGTAAAAAGTTTGAACACAGGGAACTTATTGCTTTTCTCTTGACCAGAGGTGACTTCTGCTGTCTGGTAACAGTATTTTTTATTCATTTTAACCTATAAAAAATCAGTTGATAGCTCAAAAATCAATTTTCTTTCACAAGATTAAATTTTTACATAGATCAAAATGAATGAAGAGAACAGTTACCGGATAGTGCATGCAAAATTATTTGAGAGAATTCCTTTCCAAATAGGATTTCAGTAAAAACATTAATATCGATTTTATAAAAAATCCTGATGTGATTGGGGAAAATGAAGGTCATTTTCAAAATCAGCACATCAAATAACATATAAATCAACAATAACTTCTCTTGTATTTTTAAAAAAGTTCAATTTCGCAGGCTTGTGTAATCTGTCCTTGAAAAATGAAAGCCTACGAAAAGGACTAAAAACCAAATTGCAAGTATTACACATTTATTCAGATTATACACGATTTATACAGAAGTTCAGACAGTAATAAAAAGGAACCACGTAAGCCTGTATTCTCGAAAACTCTCGATGCTTAGAAAACAGGTTTGTTTTAGTTCAAAAATACAAGTCTTTATCCAAATTTATTTTATTGTACAAGAGGGGTTGGACGCAGATTAATTTCTGGGTTTACGACTATTACTGTTCAGCTCCATAAGCTTCCACATTTGAAACGAAACCAGAAGGCAAGGGAACTCCTGGATCAAACTAGCCTTCATGGAGGAATTTTGTTTCAACTAACCCGTATTTGCGTTACGTGGAGAGGAAACCCTGAAAGCCTCCCACGGTTAGCCCAACGGTATGAAGATTTTAACCCACGATCCGTCTACGACTCAGGATATTTTACGTCAGCACTGTGGTTGCTGCGAGTAGCAGAATTCGTATACACCAGTCAACTCTTGGTTTCAAAATTCAGCCATCAATGTTTAATTGAAAGTTGGCAGCAACATAATTGAAAAAATCTTTGTGTCCGAAATATTCATTAACATCTTAAAATAGTTCCGTTTTTAAGAAACTCACCTGATGCTTTATTCGAAACTTCTCATCTTGTGCAGTTTTAGCTCCCCATCAGCAGTATATCAGGAAGACACAATTCTGAAAAATACAAGATACAAAAGTAGAATGTTAACTGATTAATGACTGACTGACTAAATATGACTAATATTATATGAAATAAAGTATGTCATTGAACAATATGAAGAACATCTCCCGTAATAAACATATCACAGTAGATAAGTACAATTTAAATTTAAAACGCTAGTGATAGTACAGAAAGCTTCACTTAATTCTTACCAATAGTTATGAATATTTGAAAGTGTTTAATGCATGAAGTAAAAGAATTACTCTTAAACTATATTCCAAAGTAATTAGTTAACTTGCGCTTGTATGTACACAAGGATCGAAAATAAAATACGCAGTTATCTTCAAAAAAGTTAGAACTTTTATACCAATATTAGTATATTTATGTATTATATATTAATAAGTAGAGTAGTATAAGTATACTTGTTGTTGTTGTTGATTTAACTCGCACTAGAGCTGCACAATGGGCTATTGGCGACGGTCTGGGAAACATCCCTGAGGATGATCCGAAGACGTGCCATCACAATTTTTTGATCCTCTGCAGAGGGGATGGCACCCCCGCTTCGGTAACCCAACGGCCTGCACGCGAAGTCGAGCACTTTACGGTAGCACAGTTTAACGAGGACCAATACCGCACACACTCGGTCCCTACGCAGATTGATCCAAGTGGATCACCCACCCGCACACTGACTGCAGCCAGTGATGCTTGACTTCGATGATCTGATGAGAACCGTGTCTTAACGATCAGTCCACTGCGGGACTTGTATATACAATATTAAATATAGAGTAATAAGTGCTATTTATGTTATCAGAATTCATAAAAATGCTAACATTGGCGTTTGTATATTATTAATTTTTATTTTGTACTTTAATTTTCATTCACATTTGGACGCTTTTTTCAATTCCAAATGATTTCTTAAAGATTAAAATCTACTCTGTAGATCTTCAGTAGATCAAAATCTACTGAAGATAAAATGGATAAAGAATATCAAGAAATAAATTTTATATAAAGTTAAACAATTTGAATTAATCGGCTTTTAAACGCCCGGTGACTGAGTGGTAGAGCTTCGCGCTGTCATTCCACAGGTCCCTGGTTCGATCCTCGGGGCGGGTAAGGTGACTCAGCCTTTCATCCCTTCAGTGGGTCTATAAATGAGTACCAAGCATGCTTGGAAACTAAACACTGGGGGTCCCGCGTTCGGCTGACCACCTGACCCGAACATCTGCTCCTGCACCCCCGAGCTCAAGGTAAGGAAAACTGAGATGGGCACAGTAGGCCTTGGCCCTCTAAGGCTGTCGCGCCACTGAGTTTAGTTGAGTTTATTTTATTCATTTTTTTCCAGTTTTGTAATATTAATTTTTTATAGTCGAATTGAATGGCGATAAATCGGCAAAAAATGTTGCATTCACTATTTAGAGAACATTTATAACTTTTATTGTCGTATCATCCCTCTAGGTAGTTTGAATGAAACTGGCAAGGTTGACTTAGCCTTTCATCTCTTCAGTTAGTCTATAAAATGAGTACCAAGCATAAATGGAGGGTAAACTTTTGTATTTTAAACATTTTTTTTTAAACATTGAGGGTGAACATTTGTTTACCTCCATTGAATGGAGGGTAAACGCATGGGGGTTTGGTCATCTAATCGAAATGTCTGCTCCTGCCCCCTTGAGCCTAAGGTCAAGTGAACTTGGAAAGGTACAGTTGGACTTGGCTCTCCTTGCTCTGTTGTACCATTGAACTTAGTTTAAGTAGTCGGAAAGATTTTTAAATTTCAATTGAAGCTTATTTCTATTTGATGATACAAATTATGATCATAACAAAACCAAGTACTAATACAGTTTTTAAAAATAATTAGCCCATCAATAACTCCATTCTGGTGTTCCGAAAAGGGCATTCAAAATAAAAAAAAGAATCGCTGCACAAAAACATTTAAAAAATCTTCACAAAAGATTTAGAACAAGCTATCGTTAAAGCAATAAATTTTCATAAAATCTGTTTTATAAAGGTGTTTTTGACTTAAGCTTGTTCCAATTTTATTTACAGCATTTGTGAAGATTTTTTTTAAGGTTTTTGTAGGCTTTTATTACCTGTAAAAAATTAACTATCCAGTAAAAAAATTTGTATTAAAAATGATAGTTTGAAGGTATTTTAACACTAAATATGAATTGAAACAATCAAAATTGGTTTTATTAAGAAAAAAACTACTCTAGACACATCAATTTAGGTTTTTTTTTTTTTATTTCCAACTTTAAATTTTTTTTTTTGACATGAATGATTGAACCAATATTTTAAATCACTTTACGTTTGTTTCAGCAAATTATAAAACATTTGACAAATCTTAATGTTAGATTCAGTGTGTTTTTTCTTCCATTAAAGTTCAAGAACTAATTGTAATGTCTCTCTGTAAAGATGTCTGTTTGGTCAATCATTTATCAAGCTGCTCCATACTTCCCACAAGGATATTCATCTTCTACATTCTGAATTTTCTTCCATAAATAATGAACACACTTTACAGTCTGCTGGATATAGAACATTTCTAGTAAAGGCCAGTGTTTGTTTTCTACCCAGTTCCACATATTCTCTTTCAACCTCTGCTAGGTCATTTCAGCTATATGATGAGGATCAAATTATTTGGAGACATCAACAATCAGCACAAATTTCTGTAAAGACTGTGCGTAGGATTTTCGTTCCTGAGTACTGAACACATAGGATTGTCCGTTGAACATAGAGCACGTCTACTGAAGACCAATGTTTCTTTTATCTATATACACAGTCTCATACATTCTCATTAAGTCATTTTTGCACAATATGTAGTCTGCTAGAGAAAAAAAGTAATTTTTTCCTTATTTTAGTATTTTTTAGCTTTTTTTTTGCACAATATATGGTCTGGTGAAGGCAAAAGAACAATTCTCATTTGGTATTTTTTTAAATTTTATTTATATATATATATTTTTTTATTGCTTTAGCTTTGTTTCAATGACTTTTTTTTTAAACATTGCAGAGTTTGATGAAAAATGGTATTTTTTTGTTTTTATTTTAAGCTCTTTTTTTTTGTTTTTACTTTTTAGCTCTTTTTTTTTTTAGCCTTTTTTTATTTTTTATTATTGGCAAAGATTTTCTACTACTAAGTCTCTCAAACATTCTTCGTTTAACCTCTGCTAAGTTATCTATGCTTCATGAAGAGAATCAAGCATCTGGAAGCACACAATCTTGATAGTCTACTGTATATAGAACATGTCTACTGAAGTAGTACTACACAGTCCCATACATTCTCATTTAGTTACTTTTTCTCATTTCAATTTCTTTGTTTCAATGCTTGTTTTCTACTAAGTCTCATGCAGTCTCATTCAAAATCTGCTACATCATATTCTCTTTGCAACAGAGCTTGTGATATGAGGTTACTCCGGCACTTCTATTATAAAAGTAATTTAGTCTTTCATAACCAATTAGACTGCAGCCTTTGCGTATGACGTGATATATTGTTCTTCAAACTTTTTTTTCATTTTAACGAGGAGAGTCTTTCTTAGACAAATTTTAAGGCAGGTTTCTCTCCCTGACAGCACACTCCTGTTAAAACTTTCATTCTATTGCTTTGAATATCTGAACATATTGTGTGAAAATTTGTAGGCTATTTCCAGATATGCTTCGATTCTGTTATTCAGTTGATATTCTAATTAATTGAAATGAAATCGAAGTATTCTGTTTTTGCAAGCATTTATTTTTTTCCGCAGCCAACTCATGAACGTGTCCTTCTGAAGTGCGCTGTTATTATTTGAGATGTGCTCACGCAAATCCTCCTGAATAGCTATTATTTGTGGACGATTTGAGGTTTGAGTGCTTCCAGAAATGACCCTCTTTTTCGGAACAGGTTTCTTATTTTTTGCAAATTCATCGATTTCCAAAAACTTTTTTAGCTCAAGAACTTCCTGTTCCAATGCTGCATTTTTGCGTTTTAGCACTTTACAATTCTCACATTCTGTGAGTTGGTTTTTTTCAAGTGGTTGTTCCCACTGAGTGTTAGCTTTTTTTGCTTGCAGGGCCTTTACGCTAACGTCAGCAACTCGTTTCACACCGTGATTTCTATCTATGCTAATCAATTGGTTCTCCTCGCTACCAAAATGTTGCCATTTTAGATCTGGCCCTGCTCCAATCTGGCCACCACTTTCAAAGAAGCAGTGGTCAATTGCCTTTCCGGCACTCCACCTCTTCCGTCGATCGGGCATCAAAAAGATGTGAATAAAATTTAGGGCAAGTCTTATTTGCCCATTTGCAATGCCCGTCTCGGAAAACATTCCAAGCATTAAGCTCTTGAAAACATCCTCCTAAAAAATACAATTTTATTTTATTATGAATGAATTTTCGAGAGATAAAACAAAATTTTTTAAAATTACATTTGGACTGCGAAATTTCGTAAGAGCATCTTAGAATCATTTTAAATCGTTTCTTTAATAAGTGAAAGTCAAAAGAACATTCTTACGAAAATTTAAGAAAAATCTAAAAAATTCGGTATTCATTTCTATTTTTTTCATACTTTTGAATTTGGGTGTAAAAAAGCTTTAAAAAAATGAAAGAAATATATGAAAAATGAAGAATTTTGAAAATCTCTTTCAAAGCAATCAAAACAGTCGAAATTTGATGCCATTAGTTGCATGATTTTGCTTTGAAGCTGATTTTCGAATTTTCCTATCTTCTCTATAATACGCCTTTCCCATAATTGTGATTTGTAATTCTTACCACGGTGTGAAGTTTTGCATGTAACTCAATTTGAGTGGTTTATTTAAAATAAAATTCATGAAAATAAACTTATTTGCAGTTGTTAACCTCCGAATTCTGTCTTGCCGTGGGTATTATGATGAATATAACCTCAAAGATTCATAATTAAAGCTGGGAATGTTAAAACTTTTTAATTTATCGAGTTCTGTGTCTAAATTTTTGGGGCAAATAAATTGTAACTTTTTTTGTCGGATTTAATTTTTGACCTATTATTTTACTTTGAATCTTCTCATACCTGTTTATTTTATTTGCAGTATAAAAAAAAGTCGAAAAATATATATTATTTTGAAATGTATCGATAAATTTTGAGCGTACCTAAATTTTTGTGGCACAGTGTATCTACACAAAAACTAAATACCTGTGCAGTACTTGATATTTGTAACATTAGATCATTCAAATGAAATATTGAATAAAACTATCGCACTACTAACGAATATACTCACCATAAAATTAAGCTTATGTTTTAAACAAAAGAAAATTTAAAAAAAACTAGTTTTTATTGAAAAAATATTTTTATTAATTATTTTTTCAATTTTTAATTTTTCCATCATCTTTGTTGTTGTTGCTAATTCCCATCTGGTCTGACGGGGTCAGACCAGATCAATGAATCCGTTGATATTAAGAAAATCCGAAACCAGAATGGGAGAGGAATGAATGTCGTTCCAGTCCAGCCCTAAACAGTTCAAGATGTGCTCAGGAGATGCCTGGTTTCCATCATCTTTAGAATTACTGATCAAATCATAATTTTATACTTTGAGCCAATTTTGGGTGTTAATTTATCGTAGAAAAATTTGTGTTAGCAAATTTGGTGTAGAATATGTTACTTAAGTTATCAAAAATAATTATTTACCACCTTAAAAAACAATTAAATAAGGTTCTAGACATATATAAATATTTACCTGAAGAATGTTGAAGAGGACAGGATAAATATTCCTGTTCCAATTACCGGCGCAGGTTACTGCATTGCTCAGAGCTTTGTTGGTAAACAGCTCCAAGACCATCACTCCAAACGCCCACATGTCAAAAGCCTTGCCATCAACTTCTGTCGCACCCCCGAGTGATAGGCAAGCTTCTGGAGGTCTATACACACTCGGCAATCCAAGTTCATCCCTGAAAAAACAAAATTAAATTATTAAGTAAAATCCTCACCCAGAGACAAAAGTAACTCGGGACAAATCTATGATTTGAAACTAATTAGTGAAACTAGTACAAATTTCAACAAGATATACTTCGGTAATTTATTTTTAACAAACTTCGGTTCAATTATTGAAATACACATTATATTTTTGGTTCACTGCACTTTTGATAATATAAAATAATATATAAATAATAATATATTTATTTTATATTAATACAATAATAATTTAAAAATAATATAATCTACTAATACTAAAAAAACTGAATGGAATCATAATTTAATCTCAAAATTTAAATACATTTTAGGCAATACATTTTGACCAATATTAAACAAATGTTAAAGGGCTCACCTTGGTATTGCCTTCGTCGCAGATGCAAGACAAGAGAAGTCAGATATGACACCTCTATAATCTTGCGAGATCAAGATGTTATCGGATTTCAAATCCAGGTGACATGCCTCGTTAGAGTGCAAATACACCAGACCACAAAGAGTGTCATGAAGCCATGATTTGAGGCAGTCTAGGGCACATGGTTGACTCAAAAAGTGCCTATCTATAACTGCATCTTTCAAAGTGCCCCGGTGTACGGGCATTACAAAAACACCAACATCCGGGTCATTGAGGCTAAAATATTGCAAGAGGGGGATAATATTTGGGTGACGCATTTTTGGCCAAATTTCAACTTCACTTTTTTTAGTGACTTCAAGGGATACAACTTTGACGGCAACTTCTTGGCCAGAGAAGTCCATCATTTTGTATACGTCACCAAAAGCGCCAGACCCAAGTTTTTCGATGCAAACAAAGTGATTAGCCTCTAAAATTTTCATGGCATCTCTTTTGTGTTGGTACCGCTGCCCGGATGGATCGGGGAGCATGGGTTCTTCTTGACCCAAATCATGATCATTTTCATCAAAATGATCACCCATTTCTCAAAACTTCTTTCTCAAAGCGCAGGAAAAAAATTTCCCAAATTAATTTGCTGTTTAGCAAGAACTCTAAAGCGCACAATCAATCATGAAAGCACAAGTTAGAATGATCAAAAATGGTTTTACAAAGTATTTTTGCAAGTTTTCAACAATGAATATAATTTATTAAACATGTACTAACATCGTGTTTTAATTATTAAGCAATAATGAAATTTTTTATACACTGAACTCTTGATTACATTGTTTATTGTTAAGAATTAAAATTCTGCATCTGATTGTTAGAAAACAATTAATGAAATATTCAGTCAAAAGTTTATATTGTTGAAGTTCTACTTATAAAATACTGAATGAAAACCAAAGTTTTTTTAATCGATAGTTTCTAAATACCCATAAATAATACGTTTCACTAAACAGGGAAATTCGATACGACCCCACAATGCATTTATTTAAAATCCTACAATAATGGTTAAGCAAGGAAAAATAAATAAATAAAAAAACTCTATCGTCTTTTGAATTCTTAGGGATGATAGCTGGACTAAAAAGAAATGAAAATCTGTTTGCTTTAAAAGTTCCAAGTGTTTCGAATAATCATCTCCTTAACTCTTTTTTTTTCTCCTTGTAATCAAAAGGTTCTTAAATTTCAGTAGTGATTTTCTTACTCAATGAATTCATTTACGAACCATAATGAGTACATATTCTTTTCTATTTCACTTTTAACAATAATTGAAAATATATATATTCAGGGCGGTGATTATGACACACCCTGCGTGCTCCTTTACCTCAACTCAGTACATATCTTCCTGCTTTATAATTCAGGCAGTTCCTCAAAAAAAAGTGTCAGCAAAAATTGTCCAAACATTTGAAAAACAAGAAGACTTTTCATTGAACTAAACAAATGGAAACTTCAATGTTAATCCACTTTTTTTGCCATTAAAATATTAAAAAAAATGTAAAAGAAAAAAACTTCGTTCGATACAAATTTGAAATGGAAGAAAGGTTGACAAATTTCGAAAGCCTGAAAAGATGACTCTCCTCTTTAATTAATGGTGTTACCAAAATTTAATTTTTTGTCAGGGATTGTGACAAATCTGTTTGTTTAAATTTCTTACTATTTTTAAAACTGGTACATCAATTAAATGAAAGTTACCAGAGTGCAGATGGTCATGCAGAGACTAATGTGCAACTGGACACGACTTTCTACATCCACATCTACTCCATATTGGACTTGTTGATTCTCCTGACTGCATTTTGAGTGAAGAAAATGTAGACATGAATATATTAGGCTATTTGAACAAACACACCCTTGCACACACAATAGTGAACAATAGCTTAATATTAATTTACTAGAATGTTAAGCTATTTATCAGCCTGGTTGGCAGTCAATCTGCAGTAAATTGTGTCAATCTGCAGTACATTGCGTCAATCTGCAGTCAATTGAGCCAATCTGCAGCAATATCTTCACCAATTGAAACATGTCTGTCACCCAAACGTAATCAGGTGGAGACTATTGTAAACATTGTTTTAAAAAATCTATACAAGTTGTAATAAAAGTTTATTAAAAAATGCTAGTTAGTTTTTTTCCTTCAAAATTGCTGAATAACGTAAATTTTATCACTCTCTTGCACTGTATGAGTTTCAACTACTTTAATATTCTTTTATTGGTTTTGAAAACTGTCTTCTTCAGGATCCTTCATTGAATTTTTTTGCTTTCACTTTCGCAGTGAATCAGATTCTATTTGCTCGAAAAAGTCGATATATAATATATTCTTTCTTCGTTGTGGTGACAATTTGTCCAGAGATGGTTTCTTTTAAGTATTATATTCATTGCGGGAACTGCTTATACCACACTAAAAAAAGTAATGTTTAAGAAAAATAATCTCATTTTATTTAGTTTTAAATAAAATTTTACATTATTTTTAACTCATTAATCATTTCATGTNTTGTGGCACACTGTATCTACACAAAAACTAAATAACTGTGCAACATTTGATATTTGTAACATTAGATCATTCATATCAAATATTGAATAAAACTATCGCACTACTAACGAATATACTCACCATAAAATTAAGTTTATGTTTTAAACAAAAGAAAATTTTAAAAAACTAGTTTTTATGGGAAAAATATTATTATTAATTTTTTTTTCAATTTCTAATTTTTCCATCATTTTCAGAATTATTGATCAAATTATAATTTTATACTTTGAGCCTATTTTGGGTGTTAATTTATCGTAGAAAAATTTGTTTTAGCAAATTTGGTGTAGAATGTTACTTAAGTTACCAAAAATAATTATTTACCACCTTAAAAACCAATTAAATAATGTTCTAGACACATATAAATATTTACCTGCAGAATGTTGAACAGGAAAGGATAAATTTCCCTGTTCCAATTACCGGCGCAGGTTATGGCATTGCTCAGAGCTTTGTTGGTAAACAGCTCCAAGACCATCACTCCATACGCCCACATGTCAAAAGCCTTGCCATCAACTTCTGTCACACCCCCGAGTGATAGGCAAGCTTCTGGAGGTCTATACACACGTGGCAATCCAAGTTCATCCCTGCAAAACAAAATAAAATTATTACGTAAAATCCTCACCCAGAGAGAAAAGTAACCCGGGACAAATCTATGATTTGAAACTAATTAGTGAAACTAATAAAAATTTCAACAAAATATACTTCGATAATTTATTTTTAACAAACTTCGGTTCAATTATTGAAATACACATTATATTTTCGATTCACTGCACTTTTGATAATATAATAAATAATAATATATTTATTTTATATTAATATAATAATAATTTAAAAATAATATAATCTGCTAATACTGAAAAAAACTGAATAGAATCATGAATTTAATCTTAAAATTAAAAATGCTTTAGGCAATACATTTTCACCAATATTAAATAAATGTTAAAGGGCTCACCTTGGTATTGCCTTCGTAGCAGATGCAAGACAAGAGAAGTCACATATGACAGCTCTGTAATCTTGCGATATCAAGATGTTATCGGATTTTAAATCCAAGTGACATGCCTCATTAGAGTGCAAATAGTTTAAACCACAAAGAGTGTCGTAAAGCCATGATTTGAGGCAGTCTAGGGCACATGTTTGACTCAAAAAGTGCCGATCTACAACTACATCCTTCAAAGTGCCCCAGTGTACGGGCATCACAAAAACTCCTACATCAGGGTTACTGAAGCTAATATATTGCAGGAGGGGGATTATGTTTGGATGACGCATTTTTGGCCAAATTTCAATTTCACTTTTTTTAGTGACTTCAAGAGATACAACTTTGACAGCAACTTCTTGGCCAGAGAAGTCCATCATTTTGTATACGTCACCAAAAGCTCCAGACCCAAGCTTTTCGATGAATACGAAGTGATTAGCCTCTAAAACTTTCATGGCATCTCTTTTGTGTTGGTACCGCTGCCCTGATGAATCAGGGAGCATGGGTTCTTCTTGACCCAAATCATGATCACTTTCATCAAAATGATCACCCATTTCTCAAAACTTCTTTCTCAAAGCGCAGGAAAAATTTTCCAAATTAATTTGCTGTTAAGCAAGAACTCTAAAGCGCACAATCAATCACGAAAGCACAAGTTAGAATGATCAAAAATAAATTTTACAAAGTATTTTTGCAAGTTTTCAACAATGAATATAATTTATTAAACATGTACTTACATCGTATTTTAATTGTTAAGCAATAATGAAATTTTTTATACACTGAACTCTTGATTTAAATTTTTTATTGTTAAAATTTAAAGATCTGCATCTGATTGTTAGGAAACAATTAATGAAATATTCAATCAAAAGTTTACATTGTTGAAGTTCTTCTTATAAAATACTGAATGAAAACCAAAGTTTTTTTAAACGGTAGTTTCTAAATACCCATAAATAATACGTTTCACTAAACAGGGAAATTCGATATGACCCCACAATGTATTTATTTAAAATTCCACAATAATGGTTAAGCAGGGAAAAATAAATAAATAAAAAAACTCTATCGTCTTTTGAATTCTTAGGGATGATAGCTGGTTGAAAAAGAAATCAAAATCTGTTTGATTCCTTTAAAAGTTCCAAGTGTTTCGAATAATCATCTCCTTAACTCTTTTTTTTCTCCCTGTAATCAAAAGATTCCTAAATTTCATACGAACCGTAATGGGTACATATTCTTTTCTATTTCACTTTTAACAATAATTGAAAATATATATATTCAGGGCGGTGATTATGACACACCCTGCGTGCTCCTTTACCTCAACTCAGTACATATCTTCCTGCTTTATAATTCAGGCAGTTCCTCAAAAAAAAGTGTCAGCAAAAATTGTCCAAACATTTGAAAAACAAGAAGACTTTTCATTGAACTAAACAAATGGAAACTTCAATGTTAATCCACTTTTTTTGCCATTAAAATATTAAAAAAAATGTAAAAGAAAAAAACTTCGTTCGATACAAATTTGAAATGGAAGAAAGGTTGACAAATTTCGAAAGCCTGAAAAGATGACTCTCCTCTTTAATTAATGGTGTTACCAAAATTTAATTTTTTGTCAGGGATTGTGACAAATCTGTTTGTTTAAATTTCTTACTATTTTTAAAACTGGTACATCAATTAAATGAAAGTTACCAGAGTGCAGATGGTCATGCAGAGACTAATGTGCAACTGGACACGACTTTCTACATCCACATCTACTCCATATTGGACTTGTTGATTCTCCTGACTGCATTTTGAGTGAAGAAAATGTAGACATGAATATATTAGGCTATTTGAACAAACACACCCTTGCACACACAATAGTGAACAATAGCTTAATATTAATTTACTAGAATGTTAAGCTATTTATCAGCCTGGTTGGCAGTCAATCTGCAGTAAATTGTGTCAATCTGCAGTACATTGCGTCAATCTGCAGTCAATTGAGCCAATCTGCAGCAATATCTTCACCAATTGAAACATGTCTGTCACCCAAACGTAATCAGGTGGAGACTATTGTAAACATTGTTTTAAAAAATCTATACAAGTTGTAATAAAAGTTTATTAAAAAATGCTAGTTAGTTTTTTTCCTTCAAAATTGCTGAATAACGTAAATTTTATCACTCTCTTGCACTGTATGAGTTTCAACTACTTTAATATTCTTTTATTGGTTTTGAAAACTGTCTTCTTCAGGATCCTTCATTGAATTTTTTTGCTTTCACTTTCGCAGTGAATCAGATTCTATTTGCTCGAAAAAGTCGATATATAATATATTCTTTCTTCGTTGTGGTGACAATTTGTCCAGAGATGGTTTCTTTTAAGTATTATATTCATTGCGGGAACTGCTTATACCACACTAAAAAAAGTAATGTTTAAGAAAAATAATCTCATTTTATTTAGTTTTAAATAAAATTTTACATTATTTTTAACTCATTAATCATTTCATGTGTGAATATATTGAAGAATGGCTGGCAGAAACCACTACCAAGCTCAATCATTCATTTAAAAATATCAACCTCAAAAGAAAATAAATTGTTACTTTGAGACTTTTTTAAATGATTTTCACAAAAATACTGTTACAACTTTGGAATTTTTAGCTGCATTCAAATTAGACTTTTTAACAACATGTTAGAAAATGGTTGTTATTTCCGCTATAGCGCTTTACAAAACTACTACTTCAAGTACTACTGCTAAGATTTTAACACTTTTTTGTTTATTTTCAAAACCTAACACAATATTTTACTATTATTTATAAACTTTTTAGTAACATTTATTAAAGACTGCTGTGATGTGAAAAGTGCTATTGTGCCAATATTGGTAGTACAGAAATATTTAAATTAAGTAGATATTTTCTTGTATTAGTTACTATTTCATTTTTAAACCAATCACAATTTCATGACTGCTAATAAAAGAAACAATGAAAAATGAAAAAATGAATAAATATGACAAGCGAAGCTGACGTCTTCAGGGGGTACCAGCTCCGAAAGTCATAAAAGCAAAACCTTTTCTTTTGAGAGAGCACGACAAATGTCTAAAATTGTTCTCTCTGTACGCCAAAGATTTTGCCAAAGTCCAGGAAGAGAATACAACACAAAATACGAAATACATAAAGCAAATACAGAAGTATAAGAACTAGACAAATACATAAGAATAATACGCACAAAAACTTATTTGAAACAAAAATCCAATCACCAAATTACACTTCTGACTGCGAGACACAACTAAATTGAAACGAGATACAACTAGACTGCGAATAGTGATTAGTGTTGCTCATATATATCAGGGTCAATACGAATCCTTTGTTTTTTCATGAAAAAAAAAAAAAACTATTGAGGAAATAATTGAGCTAGGTATCAGTTGTGATTTTTTTTAGATAATAACAATTTTTAAAAAAAAATTAAATGAGATTACTGAGTGTTAACGGGTTCAATTTCCTAAACCAAGTAGTCTTAGCGTCCTTTAAAAAATCAAAGTAGTTAGGAGAATTATCAAATATTTTGCCGACTTTTGGATAAAACGAGATAATTCATTAAGTACTTTGTCACGTAAACAATTTAACTCTAAAATTGGAAAAATTTTTATTTTTAAATAAAAGCGAAATTTTAAAAGAGGCCATTCAAATATTACATAGGCATGTTTGAGGCAATTCTGAGCCTGATCTTCCCTTTTATTATCTATGTTTCATGGATTTTGCAAATTGTAAGTTTAAGTTGAACACCCAAAACAGCGGTGAAAGTCTGGAATAAAAATTCGATAAAAATGAAAAAAGGGTTTGTATCATTGTTTCTTATAATCCAGTACTATTTGTGCTAGGATCTTGAAATTTGGACAACAGACGTGAAAGATAACTTTATCCTGTGGTTCTGAAAATCGTAGTCAGAAATATTCAACCTGGAATATATATANCACACATTTTTACTTTTTTCTCCCTCCTACATGCAATCTCAAGCCTGAATGCATCACATTATTAAGATTTCTGCAAAACTCTACCTTATTATGGTACTGTTATTATAGTTCGACATAGAAATGATTTTTCTTAGAGATTTGTCGCTAATAGTTATAACAATCTATAAAATATCCTCTAATAAGATTTGTTGATAATAAGAAAATTTTTATCTTTTTGTATTTTAGTATAAGAGCCTGTAATAAATTATTTTAAAAAAGGAAAAATTTGTAATGGGATTATAAAAAAATCGTTTCGAGACTAGTTGTGAAACACATAAGATTCAAAGAATTGTTTTAGTAATATATAGCGATAATTTGATAAAAGAAAAAAAAAATGTTAGATTCTTTTTCTTTACTATCTACATTTAAACTTAATTTTTTATTTTCCAAATTTAAATGAACTACCAAAGAAAATCGAAGACTCCACCAAAAAAATTTTTATTCAATATCTTCCACTTTACTTCAAATGAAATTTTAAGAGACACGCTGAACTAAGAAACGAATTTATATATATATACTACTGGCCATTAAAATTGCCAACAACAGGAAGGAATGTAAATAACAGAATGATATTTATTGGACACATGCATTATAGTTGGAAGAACAAACGATTAAATTTTCAGAATATTTGAATGCATAGAACCTGAGGAATCAGTTTTCAAAGCAGCCTTTCCTGGCAGCAATAACATCAGTTATTCTCCTGGGCATCGAGTCGAACAGAGATTGGATAGCATGGACGGATACAGCATTCCGTTTGGCTTCAACATTATGCCACTATTCATCGACCGTAGTGACTAACGAGTGGTGGCGTGCAAGTTGTTTGGCAACCATTGACCAGACGTTTCTAATTGGTGAGAGATCAGGAGAACATGATGGCCAGGGTAACAGGCGAACATGTTCTGAGTCAAGGAAGGTCAGGATAGGGCGGGCAACATGCGGTCGTGCATTGCCCTGCTGAAACGTAGCTTTAGGGTGGCCTCGAAGATAAGGCAGAGTAACTTGCCTTAACACATAAAAAAAACCAGGCATCACCTGAGCACATCTTGAACTGTTTAGGGCTGGACTGGAATGACATTCATTCCTCTCCCATTCTGGTTTCGGATTTTCTGAATGTCAACGGATTCATTGATCTGGTCTGACCCCGTCAGACCAGATGGGAATTAGCAACAACAACAACACATAAAAAATGTAACGGCTGCTGTTCAAAGTGCCGGCAATGCGAACAAGAGGTGATCGAGACGTGTATCCAATGGCACCCCATACCAATGGGTGTTCTCCACGATGTCGCCAAACACGGATGCTGCCATCGTGATGCTGTATTCAGAACCTGGATTCGTATTAAAAGACGACTTCATGCCATTCCTTCATCCAGGTTCGTCGTTGATCACATCATTGGAGGCACTCCTGCGTGTGATGCATATTTTTTTAGTGCTTTACGCATTTGTTCGTTTGATCTTCTCTCACCAAGTTAATTTGTGCATAATAATAGAACTTATGTATTTTGTTATTTTTAGGAACAGAAGTGCTGGTTTAAGGCTTATTCATCACAATAAATATAATTCAGAAAATCTTACCTACCTTCACACAAAAAAAATAAAATAAGGTTTTAAAAATAAAATTATTTTTAGATGATGAGCTTGCTTTCTCTAATTTTATAAATCAATCTAAAAATAAATTATTTTAACATAATATCAATAAAAAAATAATTCTGTAAAAGATTACTGAATCACTGAATACTCAACTTCTGAATCACTCAGAAAAAAAGTGCAAATAGAATTTATTTTTATGTGATTAAGAAAAAAAAATAATGAAGGCATTGCACTTCCCAAGACTTATAAGCAACATTTAAATTCTATAAATAAGTTAACAATTAGTTACATGATGTATAAATATATAATTTATTAAACAGAATTATTTTAGCAATAAAATTGAACGTTTAATTGAACGTTAAGGGTGGCTAGATTTATTTAAATATTTTTATGTTTCCAAGAGACTCCGCTTTAGGAGACCGCTCGACCCCATAATTGTTTCTCATTCATCATTTTTTCTTTTCTTTAAAAGTCAGTATTTTCCATATAGCAAAGAACATTTTGTTCACTATTTATACTATAATTGTGTTGTTGTTTCTGTTGCCACTTACCATGCCAGCAAGCCTGCTTGGGAAACCAAGTGAATTTAAGGCAGATGATGTGGTTCTTACTCAGTGCTGCCATTTATGCCCAACAATACGATTTCAGTCACACTCGTCACAGCCCGCTTTACAAGGCGGAACCATTCATACATTCATTTATTGATCCACAGATTGTAATTTTGATCTGAACCAGTGTACGATCAATCTCCGATTCTGTACCACCTAAATTTCAGAAGATGCAAGCAGATTTTTCACCCCCTCACTTTTATTTCAGAGGAAAACAAAGTTTTCTATTTGGAAAATAGATTCAAAGAATGAAATTTTTTTAATTATCAATATTTCTTGACTTTATTTTTGCGCACGTCGAAATTTCAGAAGGGGCGAAACATTTTGTTCGCTCCGTCATTACTATTTGGGAAGAAAATGAAGTTTTCTACCCGGAAAATATAGGGAAAATTGGAAATAAAATATTTTTCCTACTTTTACTTTACTTTCCTAAATGTCAAAAAGCACATTATTCGCCCATTTAGTTTAATTTCAGAACAAAATAAAGTTTCCTACTTAGTTATAGACTAGCTTTCAAAGTTGAGAAAGAATAGCTTTGTTTTTATCTCTAAAGTCCCCAATTTTACTTGACTTTGTCTTGGCGGATATGCCAACAAAAGCAACAAATCGAAAAGAAATAAATTCGTTTTTTTTTCTTAGTAGAATAAGACCCTTAAGTAACGCTATTATGTTTGTATAACTGTGGTTAAAAAAACTCTTTTTGTTTTAACATATCAAATCTCTTGTTTAATAAAGATGTGAGCGATATCTGATAATTTTTTCAATGGGGATTTTTTTTTGTGTCTCCAACTCATACTTGAATATATTTAAATCAAAATTCAAAAGACGATCATAGTTAAGTATAAGAATCACATGGCTTGAATATGGGGTTGCCAGAAAAGGTGAAAGAGGTTGGCAAAATTGTTAATTGGCTAAATTTGATGGCATTTAACTGCATTAATGCGCTAAATGATCTCTGATTCAGAAAGGTGCCCCCGGGACTCGAACTCATTTTCTTGGGAATAGCAGTTATGTGCTTCATCTGACACTACGGGACCATGGTCATCAGTCTGCGGAACAAAAAATCAAGCTGAGTTATTTTCGCGGTTTTGCAGCGCAATGAAAACATCTCATACCTCATAATACACCTCCTAATTCGTCTATAATTTTGCCATTCGGTGTGGTAGTTTACTGCGTTATAACAATATCTCACCAAAATTCAGAATTATAGGTTAATAATAAGAGAAGATATAGGCCTTAAGTATAGTTAGAGCATGTGCTATATTCTTGTATTATATAGGGAATCATTCATTTACAATATTACATTTAGGTTCCTGAGTACCAAAACTAATTTGTCTATAATTTTGAGGCTTGGTCTCGTGTTTACTGACCTTGAAAAAAATATATGGTCAAAGTTAGAAAATTATGGATTAATTCAAAAACCAAATATTCGCTATCGCAATGCTCGAATACGCCATGTGGGTAGAAGACCGGTTCCATAGCTTGACCCTTCCCCTCTTCCCAGTTATATAGGAAAGTACTATGATATTTTTTCCTTTCTTATTATTTTTCGTATTTTATTAACACAAATATTTTCGAAAATTTCCACTGTGTCTCGCTGGAGGTGGAAAATTCTGCTCTACGCCACCTGTAGCCCATTTCGCGAGTCTATATCATTTATGGATGGTGTTTTCTACGCTAGGGAGCGCTGCAAGCTCGGGACTGCCTAAATTTCCGGGTTACTGTTTCAGTTGTATTTTAAAGCCATTTGGCATCATTCTGTTTTGAGATTCTTGCAAACAATGCATTTCATTACTTATTGCTTATGTTTGCAATACTAACAATACTGTTTACAATACTAAAAGTGTTAACACTAACGTAAGATGGTGCACAGCTTGCAACACGAACAAACAGTAATAAACAAATGGAAAGAGGCCAAATCAAGACTGCCAAAAAAGCGAGTTATTCAAAATCTAGCAACCATGTCACCTTTTTAAATAATAAATAACAAAATAACTAAAACAAATTTTCACTCCAAACTCCCCAGAATTACATATTAACATTAATATCTTATGAAATACGGCAGATTTGAGGTCAGAAATTATCTAGTTTATTTCTTTTATTGAAAACAAAATTATCTGTTTGAAAACATCACCTATAAGAATAACATGTAGTAAGCAGCTGCAAACTTTTTAACCGGAACTAGAGTAGGTCCCGAGCTCGAGATTGTTATTGTTTACATTTCTATTGAAAACACCACCCATAGTTTTATTATTGTGATTTGTGTTTAAACTTACCCGTACTTTTACCTTCCCTAAGAGTTTTGTGTAATTTATAAACTCTAAGATGTCTTACATAAATTTAAGAATAATATTACAACATAAATAAGGCCTATATAGGCTTTGCCATGTTTTGAGTATTATCCCTTATCTGACCATATTTGTGTAAAATATCGCTGTTCGTTATTTTTCCGGTTGCATCATAGTAGTCAAAATTAAACGGATTGAGCTAAGTTAAAATGAAAGAACGCGTTATATTTTAAAGACTACAAGCATAGTAACATTGGAAGATGCGCTTTTTCAAACTTAGTCATAAAATAAATCGAGAGTAGTCATTCGGAAGTTCGGCGACGAATATTACCCGTAGCGCCATCTTAAATTTTTTTTTTATGGTTATTCATTCAGTTTTGATATGTAACTACAACTTTGATCATGAATAAACTTTTATTGTTTGTTTTTTATTTTTTTTATCAGACAAAGTTTAATTGTATTTTGATGACCTCTCCTTTTCTTATAACTGACTTGTCAAGTTCATGATGATTGAAAATTAATAAGCATAATTTTTTTTTATGTTACTTCCAAAGAATTTTTTTCACTAAAGAGATTTTATGAAGTGTGCTAGTGCTATAATTTTTTGTGGACATACGCCGGTTTTTTAATTAAACTTACATACTAGAAAGAAACGCGATTTTGACTTGTATTAGTAATTAATTACAGGTAAGTTAAATGTTTCGTTTCAATATTAAGTAGAAAATATCAGAGAGAATTATTAGGACTAAAGTTTCAATGCTGTTTCTGTATCACTTTCGTATTGATATTTCTTATTATTTATTAATATATTTTATTAGGAGTTCGTTCAGTCAAAATTAGTATAATTTGTATCTTTTTGCAATGAATAAATTATTTTATTTTGTTGCAGCTGCAAAAAATTCAAATTTGTCTTTTCCCGGAAATGAAGATGTCGGAAATTCCTCGTTTAATAATAAACGATTGACTTTGTTTTGCCAATTATGTTTTTTCGGAAGGAGAAATAAATAATAAACTCGAAATATATTTTATTAAGATAGATACCATAGTTGAGCATTATTTTATTAGCTTCTTTATATATATTATATAAGTTTAAATGTTATTTACTTTATATTTAAATCGGATTTATTTATTGACTTGTAATTATCTATTATGAGCTGTCATTTAAAGTTATGCCGGATTTCTTCTTCCATCGATTGTAATAGATAGAGGTTATCTCTATAGATAAGACGAAATAGATCTACTTTGATAACAATGTTTGTTTTATTTATTTTATGAACGAATGTTATTTTTGAAGTTTTATTTATATACATTTTAATATGAAGTATTTTATTAGAGTTTTTCAAATTGTTTTTATTTTTCCAAATATTGGTTAATATTTTGTATTTGTGGTGACATTATTTTGAAGTGTTTAATAGGCTATTACAAAACATCTAGTCATTGAGATATTTGAGTTGTCATTTTTTAGCTTTATTATCATAACTGTTTGATTTTAAATGTTATTGAAATTGTGCTCTGATATTATTGAAATCTGTTGCTAACGGTGTCAAATCTTCTTGTATTTAACAGTAGGTGACATGGAACTTTTGAATTACAAATGTGTTTTGGAATAGTATTTAAATTATTATATCTTAGTTTATCTATGATTTTATATAAGACATTCAATTAAAATAATATTTTGATGATCTTGCTGAAAATCATTAAAAATTATAAATTATTTTCTGATTTTTTAAATCTTGTTACTTAAAAATGAGAAATAAAGTAATTTCTTCTTATTTAATTTTAATACTAGATAATAATGAAGCAAGCAATATTTAAAAACATTAGATTAATCACATTAAAAATTAGAATAATAGTGAAATGAAAATTAAAATTAGAATAATTAAAAATTAGAATAATTTCCTAGTGATTAATTTAATAGTTTTTAAATCTTAGAAGAAGTGTTTTTTTTATAAATTGTGATAAATTTTTTTTTTCTTTCTAATATCTTTTTTATATATGACATATTTTTTGCTAATTTCAATATAATATTATAAACAAAAAAGTACTATTCATCTATAAAGACTTAATTATACTTGAAAAAATTTGGATAATCTTTAAAATGTTGTGGTCTATCTTTCTCTAATTATTTTCTTATCCTATTTCCCCTCTTATGGTATATATGGCCTTCTGCTGATAACAGAATAATAAAATAGAAAAACCACTGATGAGTTTTGTAAAAGTTTACATGTAATTAAGAGAGAGACCAAGAATAGAATAGCAACTACTACAATTAATTCATTATTATTATCATTTCCTAGTCTAGATTATTGTCTAATAGTTGAGTATTAAAAATCACTGTTTTCAAAGTTTTTCATTATAATCTAACTTTTAAGCCTTTTTAGAAGGGCAGCCCATCCTGCTTCCCTTTTTAAGTGCCTTCTGTGCCCTTTATGTAAAAATAAGCCTCCATCCCTTAAAAACACTGCTGTTTTATTCATATTCCATTTTTAAAAAAATAATTCACTGTTTAGTTATAATAATTACCCACTAGTTAAATTATCTCTGTTTATATGTTTACTCATGTTGTTAGGATTATTCTCAACTGGTTAACTTTTTTTTTGGGGGGGGGGGAGTATGTGAATCAATTTTTAAATGATTTTATACAGGATGTGTAGCATTTTAAAAAAGTGCTTAAAGGTGCTTTTTTTATATTTGGGGTTTGTAGAAACTGTTTAATTTTCTATCTTTTAGAAAAAGAATTTTTTTTCTCTGCCATGTCGATTGTTCTAATTACAAAAAAATGCATGACTTTCACAATTTTCTCTGCATTATTTATCAGAAACAATTTATTTTATAATGATTATGTAAAGTTTTTTGAAATGTTTTTGAATTTTATTAATTTTAGGTTTATAAATTAAGAACCAGAGTTGGCCAAAAATGTAATCGATTACATTTTTTGATTACAGTAATCAATTACTTGTAATCATGATTACAATTTTCAAATATTTTGATTACAGCTGTAATCATGATTACAATATTGATTACAGTAATCAATTACTTGTAATCGTGATTACAAAGTTTGATTACAGCTGTAATCATGATTACATAGTCGATTACAGTAATCAATTACTTGTAATCATGATTACAATTTTCAAAAAATTTTGATTACAGCTGTAATCATGATTACAATTTTGATTACAGTAATCAATTACTTGTAATCATGATTCCAAGTAATTGCGATTACAAGTAATCACAACAAAAACGATTACAAGTAATTATGATTACAAGTAATCAAAATATATGATTACATGTAATTTGATTACATGTAATTTGATTACATGTAATTATGATTACATGTAATCTAATTACACGATTACAAGACTATTGTATTCTTATAAATGATTATATTTTACAGTAGATAGTAGAATGTATTTTATAATGATACATTTTGCACGTATTAACATGTACTGCATTTTGTACGTATTTGTATACGTACAAATGAATGTAACTGAAATGTATGTACATATGATTTTATCTAGTGCATATGTTCAGACATTTTAGTATCACACACATGTACATACACTTATATTGTAGGTATAAAATATATGTACGTATGTATATAGATAATAATTACGTATGTATGTGCAAACAATGTAGGCATGTACATTTATACACAATGAATATATGCATTTTATGCAAATATTTGTGTATGTAAAATGTATATCTATGTTCATGTACGCATGTATATACAAGTACTTGTGTTTGTACGAACATACATACATTGTCTGTACAATGCATGTCCCATGCATGTATGTGCAATTTATTTATGAACAGTACAATATATGTATGCATGTACAATATAGGTATATCTGTAGGATGTACAATATATGTATGTATACATGTACATGATATGCATGTCCAGTGTATTTATGTACATGTACATAATATGTTCATGCTCAATGTAAGTATCCAAATATGCATAATACATTTGTGAACTATTGTACGTACATTGGGCGTATTTATATTTCACATATATTCATACATGCATTCGACATGCATAACGTACGTACATACACACATTTGAGATGCATATATTGTACAGATGTATATACATATAGCGTACAGATGTATATACATATAGCGTACAGATGTATATTCATATAATGTACATATGATGAAATGAACATATAATGTTCATATAATGTACATATGTGTGTACATATACAGTACGTATGTGCATAAATATATTGGGCATAATTCTTTCGTACAAATTTTACATGTGTACATGCATGCTATCCCTATCTATGCATATGGTGCAATGTATATATGTACAATGAATGTATCCACACATGTACAATACACGTATGTTCCATGTATGCATATCCATATGTACTATATATGCACGTACAATACATGAATGTATGTACATACATTGTACATGCGTACATACATTACACGTATACATATGTACATTACATTTATGTCTAAATATGTGTACAATGCAATAAATAAAATGCATGTAAGTTAACTTTTAATGACTCAAGCAAGTTAAATGACAAAATCAAACGATATTTAAATTTAGTTTTCAGCTTTAATTGTTCTATATCATTTTGAAATTCTCTGAATAAAAAATTATTTTCAGGTATTTTCATGAAATGTTTGACAATACAGATTTATTTTTTTTATAACATAATGCATGATTCATAGAAATTTTTTAAATGGTAAGAAAAACGGTAAATTTTATGTGTGGAATTAATATTTAGAAATTCCAAATAAAATTATCGTTTGCTTTCTAAAAAATATGAGGTCGAGTTTCATATACCTTAGAATAATTTTAAAACAAATTTTAATAACTTTACTCATATAAATTTTTTTAATGTATGCACAATGTATGTGTATATTGTAATTACATATATTTAAATGTACGCACGTATTTGTACATTACTTGTAATTATGTACATGTATACGTTGTATGCACATGCATACATTGTGCATATAACTATTTTTTTGTACATCCATGCATTACATGCGCATAAGTATTAACAAAGTATGTAGTTATACAAGTACATACGTAAGTTGTACATAAGTACATACTTTGCGTGCACATATATCGATGTACATATAAATATGCATGTATACATGTACGCATTTTATTTACGCAACTATGTGCATATATTGTACCTTTAAATAACATTTTTACATATTGTACGCAAATACGTACAATTTTATATACAAACGTACATTGTATATACGTGCTATTATCGTAAATTTATACAATATATGCACTTAAGTACATAAAAGCATGCAAACGCATAAACATTATTTTCATATACGTTCATACATACATTGTCTATGTATACAAAGATACAAAACATTGCCTTTTTGTACAAACTAACATACATGCGTACATGTATCATAAATGCATAATTATATGTACTAAGCATATGCGCATTGCATTAAGTATATTACAATATAATTATGAATATTGTACGTACAAACAACGTTTGTGCATACATTGTATGTATAGGAATCGCAAATTGTACGTTCATGCGTGCGTACATTCTATGTACATAAAAATATGTAAACACATGAATACTTACATAAAAAATTTGACTATAGTATACAATCGTAATAACTTGTAATCGTATAGTTTGATTACAAGTAATCACAATTACATGTAATCAAATTACATGTAATCATGATTACATGTAATCATATATTTTGATTACTTGTAATCATAATTACTTGTAATCGTTTTTGTTGTGATTACTTGTAATCGCAATTACTTGTAATCATGATTACAAGTAATTGATTACTGTAATCAAAATTGTAATCATGATTACAGCTGTAATCAAAATTTTTTGAAAGTTGTAATCACGATTACAAGTAATTGATTACTTGTAATCGTGATTACAAGTAATTGATTACATAGCTGTAATTATCTGTAATCAATTACAGTTGTAATCGATTACTGTAATCAATGGCCAACTCTGTTAAGAACTATAAACGATAGAAATTTTTATTATTTATTATTGCACAGATCCTAATGATGATTATTTTTTTTTGTAAAGAGCTTAAAAGGTACTTAAAATGTGCTTATTTTTTGTTGAAAAGTATGGTTAAAATTTTTTTGATATCCAAATTCAGTTATTATATAATATAACTCATTTTGATAAATTTTAACGGTGTTAAATAATACCTAAATAAAATTAAGTAGTTAGGACACCTTTAAATTGCATTAGTTTGAACTTTGTTAACGTTACATATATTATTGTAATTCAGATTATGAATAGCTAGTTTGGGAAGTTGAAGTTGGCACCTTTGCAACAAGAGAACTGATCAAATGAACGAAAACATCTCTGCTTTATCCCTTTGTTCATTTCATCATTTCCCACAGAGTTTATTTGTAGTTAAAAGTACAAAATTTATTTATTTGTTTATTTATGAACACAGAAGTTCAAAATTTATCAACTATTCTTGATAGTAGGTAAAATTTTGAAAATCCCACTTTTCTCCCTTCCAAGTTATGGTCTAAAAAATCAAATTGATGTTATATGATAAGCCAAACAAATATCTTTTTTATAAATCAATCTCAAGTCCAGAAGTATTTTAATATAAATTCACTAGAAAAAAATTGCCTTTAAAGGGTTAAACAAAGATTCTAGACATTCGCTATAATTACTACTAATATTCACTAATTTCTGTATTGCATTGTGTATCATGTTACTTATTGAATGTAATTCATTTTTTGCAGGATTATTGATTTACTTTAAAGAACTCCTTTTGCTAAATAACAGTAAGTATTTGCAAATAAGTTCTCTGTAGTTTTTTTCTTTTTTTTTTGTACAAAAGCAATTATTACTCTTGGAGAAATATCTTTGAGCCATTCACATTTTCTTGTTATATTTATTTTAGGTAATCAAATTAATGTATGTATTTGCTTCTTTCATTTTTGTTTTTTCTTTCAAATAAATAGGAAAAAATGTAACTTAAGTTATTATTTAATCTTCACTGAATGTTATAAAATTAGATATGATTTTCCATGAACTTTAAAAGGCATTTAAGACGATCTTTAAAATATTTCACCTTGTTGTTATACATATATCTCCTATATATTATAAGATGGTTAAATATGTATTTATGTTGTAGGTTAAGTGAAATGTCAGGCACTTTGTAAGCGAGAATATTTCCGTATCGTGATCTGTTGCACCAACTACAATTGCGATGGTGCCGAATGGATTTTAAACTTTCATATTTCCCAAAAAAGAAAAATATGTAGATGTTGGAACACAGGTCACGATGTGGAAATCTCCCCTTGTAAGCCACTGATGTTTCTTAGCACCACGCAACTTACTCATTGTTCATCTTCTATTGAGTCTAAAAGCATATGGACTAATAGTCAGGGTTGGCTTTTTGCCGGTAGAAACTGCTTTTTGCCATGCCAGTGGCAGAAACTAGTTACAACCGGTAAAAACTGGCAGAAATGTCTATATTGGTTCTAGTAATTGCTTAATGGCATTTTGCTTAAGTAAATTGAAAAATGTAACTGTAACAAATTTTTTAATTGTAAATATTTGTTTATATTAAATACAAAGAGTGCAGTATATCAAATATTTACATAAAATAAAGAATAAAGTAATGTTATATTAAATATAAATACTAGATTTTAATTTATTATATTAAACTGAAATTCAGTAATCATTAACATTTAACTTTTAACATAACTGAATAGAGCTATTTTCAAATAGTTTTTTTCTTTTCAATACATAATTTGCATGGGAACAATCCAATTATTATAGCAGTAACAGTTAAATTTCTCGTTCGTGCATAGCAAATTGAGAAATTGTTTAGGTTTAGAAACTGCATCAAAACTTGTCTTTTGTTATAGATTACTGCAGAGTGCAAACAATGTGATATTTGATTTTGAATGGTGATAATTTTGTAAATAAATTGTGCTTTGTTTAACATTTAATTGTTTTTATATGAATTATCCATTGTATGTCAATCTCAGTACTTACTTTTATGTCATTTTCTGAATTTCTGCCAGTTTCTGCCACAAATGTGGCTGAAAAAGCATTATGCCATGCCAGTTTTAACTGGTTTCTACCAGTGGTTTTAACCACCTCTGCAGAAACTTGCCAACCTTGCTAATAGTAATGAGCTTACAAATATGTGACTAAAAAGAAGACACAATATACTTTCTGGAGGCTTTTCCAATTGGTCTCATTCTTTGCAAAATCTTGGTGGCATTTGAGAAAAGTGAATAGTGGTACTTATCAGTTGTAGGGACCACATGAACTTTTCTGATTCAATATCAACACAAACATTACACACCGCCTAAGTGAAATAAGATTTCTAATATCATGATGCTAATCTAACAGGTTTATAGTCAACAAATATCAATATTTTTAACAATAAATTGTAACTATTTTATATTGTTTTTACATTTGTTGATACTTTCATTACTCAAATAAAATGTATCAATACCTACATTAATATTGCATTCAATAATTATTGCATAATATTAAAAGATGTCATTCAAAAAAATTAAATATATTCTAAACATTTTAACATTAATCTTTGCAATTTATTGATGCAAACTGAGTTATTGTCATTTAAACTCACTTTTTTTACAAATACATATCTTACTCGTTTAGCAAATAGGTGTCTATTTTTTTAGTATTTTGATCCACGGATTCATTAACTTAGTAATTCAGTACGATATAGCAACCTTACATTATAATGTTCACATAATGGGAGGTTATACATTTACTGATAAAACTTTATGTAATAATTTTATTACTGCAATAATTTTATGTTGGTCTAAGTCAAATTTTTGTGACCCTGGACCAACGTAACTTAGTAACTCAGTACGATATAGCAACTTTACATTATAACTTCTACACATGAGATGTTATACATTTACTGTATAATAATTTTATGTTAGTCTGAGTCAAAGTTTTGTGTCTCTGGACTAACGTACCTAATTGCCATAATTTTGATCTCTTTTGTTATTTATTATCCCTGTGCATTTGTTGCAGTGGGTGATTCGAACTTTCGAGCAAAGGACATTGGCTTCCGTGCTCAGAAGAAGTTGCTTAGTCGTATGGCAAACAAGAGTATTGCAAAAGTATTTATCGATGACGCCACAGGAAATCTGCTGGACAATCTCTATAAACTTGGCAGGAGTCAGTCTGGTAATAAGAAGGAAGCTGAAAAAGTCGTAAAGAATATTATAAAAGTGAGTTTTATTTCTAAATCTAATCTAAATACTTTAATAAAATTATGTTTTATCTTGTTTCAGGTTAAACTTTTTGTTTTTTAATATTTTGAAATTGATTCTCAAAGATATTATAAACTTATCTAAGTGCATGCTGAAAAAAATGTAGAAATTTAAAAAATGCTTATTAAAAATTTATTTTGCAAATTAATGCTAAGTGTGTTAATTATTTTATTTTTAGTTAATAGCTTTAAAGTTCTGTTGATTTCAGTATAATTAGAAATTATAAATCAAATTTATTCCATATTAACTTTAGTTGTGTAACAAGTATGACTTGTTATAGTTGCTGCATGGTAGGAAAAACCTGTATGAAATGAACCTGTATGGTATGAAAAACATGAAAATAAGAGTTTAGATTGTTTTGAACAAATGAATAGATAAATCAACCAAAAGATTGAGATTTTATCAAAAATTGCAAGAAATTTTGAGAATAAAAAGTGAAGCGGTTTTCAAAAGAATTTATTAATTCCATATAGGGTCTCTATCAATTTATCTGATACTTTGTACTTAGTATTTCAAAATACCTAATACCATTAGTGCAGAATTATGTCTGAAAATCGAATCTAATATTTAAGAATTTAAAATTAGTTTTGGTTTAATCAACAAGAACTTTCCTCATTGTCTAAACACCATAATTTGGTGTATTCATATTGTCTAAATGCCATCATTTAGTGTTTCGACACCGAGGAAAGTTTTTGTTTATAGAGCTGAAATTTTGAATGTATTTTGAATTACATTTCAATGTCAGTTTTAAAAACTCTGATCTTTGATTTATTTTGTTTAAATACATTTAACTTTAGATTAAATTTTCAACGATACCATTTTACTTTACAGGTACATTTCACTTTTGTAATTTTACAGGTACATATAATTTAGATTAATTGCTTAATGCTGCATTTTGTTATTCCAGATTGTAATCAAAATAGGAATTTTGTATCGCAATGACCAATTCAATCAAGAGGAACTGTGGACAGCTGAAAAATTTAAGCACAAATTCCACTCCACAGCCATGGCAATCATCAGTTTCTATGAGGTCGAGTTCTCCTATGATCGTAATTTTCTCCTACAATCTTTAAACGAATGCTGTGCCCTTCTCAAGAGTTTAGTTGTCCGCCACCTAACGGAGAAATCCATCAACAGAATAGAGCACGTGTTCAACTTTTTTGCCAGTCCAACGTTTCTCGATGATGTGTTTAGCAGAGATAGTCACCACAAAGACATTTTAGGAAGAATTGTGTCCGACATGCATAGGCTTATGGAAGATGGTTCTCTTTAATGATATCTAGCAGAGATAGTCACCACAAAGACATTTTGGGAAGAATTGTGTCCAGCATGCATAGGCTTATGGAAGATGGTTCTCTTTAATCATATATCTCTTATAGCAGTGTCCTTTTATTAAAAAACAAATTTTTACACGGAACCTTTTTTTTTAAAGAATGAAAACCAGTGAATTTTAATCTCTAGGAATTATGCCTTAAAAACACTTTTTTTAAAGGGAGAATCGCACATGTTTTTGTAATTAACAAAGGAAACTGACTACAGGAAAAAAAATAGGTTTAAAGGGAATTTTTAAGGAATGCTGCCTATGTTTTTATAATAAACAAGAGTTATAGATTGTAGAAACTGTCTAACTCTGAATTTAGCATGTTTTTTTTATAGGATTGCACATGTTTTTTGTAATAATCATGGAAGATGTTGTTGTACATTAATAATCCTAAATTCAAAGAAAAATGTTTTTAAAAGACATTTTTAAGAAAGATTGCACATGTTTTTGTAATAAACAAGGGTAGTAGATTACAAGAAAATAGTAGTATGCATTAGGTATCGTAAACTGAGTTTAGCATGCTCATTTTAATTTAGTGCTTGATTTATAACGCTTAAGCTTTTTATAAAGAAATCTTAATTGTAATTTCCTTCAAGGATTTTTCTGCAAGTTTTTGTGTTTTGAATTACTAATTCAATTTGATATATTTTATTCATTCTTCTTTGAATGGATTTTAATCGACAATGTACCAGTTTGTAATTTAAATATAGTTCCTAGCTTTTGATATAATGTAATCCTTTCAATTTGCATTATAATTTTGTTTTAAAACTTTTAAGACATAGTACTGAATTTAGTAATTAAAGTAGTATGTATGCTACTTCATAATTGTCATAATTAATCATATAATGAGTAAATAGATTTTTATTTAATTATTTTAAAACTTTTATTTGCATAGTTACTATTATTAATGTTTGCTTACGAATTGTTTTCATTTATCTACAGTTGTATGTTAAAAATACAAGTTGATTAGTTATTGTGACATTACAATACACTTGCCATGTTTATTGCAATTTTTTTGCATTGTCCATGTATATTTAGAAAAAGATTTGTACACATCTGTTTAAAAACAGGTATTTTTTAATAATGAATTTTTGCAGTTATACATATTTGATTTGAGCGTTTATAAGTGTTTTTCATTGTGAGGTATAATCTGTCTTATTTTACTATCAAAATGTGCTTCCACAAGTATACAGACTCACACATTTGTGTACTTTAAAATTATGCACAATATTGAATAACAGCTAAACTTTTTGAAATGTAGAAGTCAACATTATGTAATGTAGTTGTTTGTAGTGTAAGCTATTGAAATACTTAAAAGAGAATGCATAGTTGCATTTAAAATATGAAGAAGATAGCAAAGTTGCCATATTTGTTATCGATGACTTAGAAAAAAATCACCCTTACATGTCTTAATTACTTCCCAGATAGTAGGATTAGAGGCGAAATTAATTAATATTTATCGCTTAAAATAGTAGGAACATTATTGCATTATACATATTAAACAATAATAAAAATTTATTATTTTTTATTTTAATTAGGATAATACTCTTAATTAATTTTCTATTTAAATAGATTTTTGGTATAATTAGATTATTTTTCTTTTAATTAAAAAAAAATAGAAAGTTGTAACAATCATTAATAATTATTTTGATCTCTTGCTTGATTTTCTATTCTGTTAAAACTAATTCTAAAATTTATTTTTTTAAAACTATAACTTATATAGCCATATGTTCAATTTGAAAAACTTAACTAAATGATCTCATATGACCCTATTGTATTAAAATTAACTTATTTCAAATATTTTGTTCTATTCTTTCAGCATTTTAGCCTCTATTTTCTAATGCAATATTTGTAAAGTATCCCTTATTTATGACTAAATTAAATCTTATTTATTAAAAAAAAAAATTCTAAAAAATATATCTGATATTTTTTGTTAAATATAGTTGTAGTTTATAATACTTGTTCCTATACTTTAAAAGTAAATTGTATACTGACAAATATTGTGGGGAAAAAATCAGATATAATTTTTTCTTTTTCTAATTGTTATAAATTGCACAATACTTTCCTGATAAATACTTAAACAACATCATGATATATTATTTTGATGCCAAATTTAGTATTGTGTGGAAGTGTTTAAAGAAATTTGATGCCATTTTTGTATGTTATGTGCTCATTGTAAAACCATGTAATTGCCTACATTTTGCATGAAACTGTGCCATAGTTTTGTACCATAAATTTATGATGCCTTATAGATGGTTTGAGTAACAAATGAATTTTAAACTTTTTAATCTTTTATATACTGTTCATGTTATATTAGATATGTAGTGATAATTACTGACTTACTTGTAACTGTTTGAAGTTTTTCAATCTTAACCGTGCATATCATATTCGAAATGAGGCCAATTATCATAGATTTAGAGTTCTACTAATCAATTTTGAGAGAGCTTTTGAACAGTACAGAACCTCTTATCCGGAAATCAGAAAACCGGAACGAAATTCAAAGCATTTTCCCACCATTTAAGAAAAAAATAAATTTTTTTTTCCTCAAAAGATTTCAGAATTTTTTCTTTTTTAAAAGATGTTTACCATCATTTTAGAAATAATCATTAGTTCCCTATACTCTCAAGAGAAGTAAAAGTTTTTTAAAATTATTCTAAATATATATACTATATATATATATATTTAGTTGAGTTTGACAATAAAAAACAGTTCTTTGTAGCGATTCAGAAAACCGGAAAAATCAGTTATCTGGAATAGCGATCGTTCCGGATAATCGGTTCTCTACTGTATATTGGTTGTGGTGTGTGCCAAGTGGTAGTTATTGCGTTGGTCCCCTCTCCTCTGTAGACTGATTGATTTGTGTGTGTGTGTGTGTGTGTGAGTTAAAACACATAATTTTCTTTTTGCTTCAAAAATTTTTTACTCTCAATCTTTTAAATTTATTTTTCAAGCTTTTTTTCTAATTTATTTGTTGAGATATTAGAAAACTTTAGAGTACAAAAGTTTTCTAATATCTCTACAAATAAATTAGAAAAAAAAAGCTTCAAGTATATCTTTAAAAGATTGAGAGTTGGTTTTTAACTTAAGAAAAACTGGAAAACGTTGATTCTGTTTCTGAAATGGGACTATGTTTTAGTTGAAAGTGAAAGTATGCAGTTATTGTATTTTCTTGTGTATAAGTTAACCCTATTTTAAACTTCAAATGGAAATCTAGTATGCATTCATTGTATAAGTCGATCCTTGATTTTACACTTGTTCAAGAACAATATTTAATCAATTAAAGTAATAATTTTTGAGTTCAAATGTATTACTGCTGTATTAACCGACCTCGTGCCCCAACTATCATTGCAACTTAGGGCCTCAAAAAGTCCACATAAAACGAGAACAACTCTGAAAATTTAAAACGAGATCTCTTGTTGAAACGTGTACATATTTAAAATATTTATGTGTTTGAAAGTAATCTATTAAGCTAGTAACCTAATTTAGTATTCAGCTTTTAGACTTACAATATTATGCCATCGAACATTTAATATTAGTATTCAGCATTATTCTTGCTGACTGGAACGTTATGTGTGAAATCTGTAGTTTTATTCAAAATATCCTGCCATTATTTATTTTGGTAAGCATTGATACAGTTTATCTTAATGTTATTGCTTCTTCTTTTTTTTTTTTCAAATAATGAGATTATTTTAATATATTTCTTTTTTTTGTACATATTTTTTTTAACTTTTCACTACATTTTCCAATGGTTTATTTTCATTAATAATTTTTTTGTTAGTGTGATTTTGATATTTTTAGACCTAAAAAGTAGTTTTTTACCTTAAAGTTTTCTCCTTAAAGTAAAACAGTTTTTTTTTTTAATGTTATTAAACAAGGAAATAGTGTATTAAGGAGTGATAGTTTGCTAATTTTTTTTCTTTAAGGTGTCCTTATTGTTGGGCCTCTAGTTTCTTATCTTAAATAAGAATATTTTAATTTGTGACACTTAGCTATGAAAAACTTTTTTTAATATAATATCAGCAAAATTACATTCCACATTAAAAAAAAAAACAGTGGACAGTATTTTATTTTAACATGTTGTGTTTACAGTTTATTTCCATGAGCTTGACATTTCTTAAAATTCGAAGCCTTGCTGGGTTAAGAAATTTGAATGAAATGGAACATTTACACACCAAATTTTTTTAAATATATAATATTAATTCACTGGTATATCAGCTCTTAAATTCAAAATTTAAGTGAATATATTTTATAAAAAGTGAGATTATGTTGAATTACATGAGCTAAAAAATTGTTTTAAATATTAATTTTTTTAAAGCCTCTAAACATCACTTAAAGCTGGTTGTTTTTCTCCAACCCACACTTGTTTCTTATCTTATTCTCAAAGTATGTTTTCATTGTTATTGGCGGGTTAATTAGATCAGCGGTTCCCAATTTTAAGCTATGGAAAATGTTAGATTTGACTTTGGCAAAACCTCCAGAGACTTAATAAGTTTTATTAGCAAATCTAAACATGTTAATTAACAAAACACTATTAATTATTTTGAAAATATTTAGTGTCTGAAATTTCATAAATTATTTTGAAAAGAGTTAATGAATGAATGAAATGTTTATATTCTATCGTTTCATGAACACTAGTCTTGAAATACTATTTTGTGTTTTGAGGGAGATATTTGAATTTGCAGGTTTGGAGCCCACAAATTTAGCTTTTGATTTAAGTTAGTGAAAGATTAAACTGAATATGAATTTGGAATCAGGGTTTTTGTTTAAAGAAAAGCGGAAAAAGAATGAAATATACTCTCGTAATCTCGAACTTCGATGTCTCTAAAACCTTGTTATGTCAAAAAATATTTTCCACCTTGGCATTCTATATCTACCTAATGATAATTTGAATTCCTATGTTGATGAGATTCTTCTCAAAACCTTGTATCTCAAATTTTTTTTCTAAATAGAAATCTAATTTTTTCGAAAAAAAACCACAATGTAAAATTTATGTACACTAATTTTTTTCTGTTTAATGCATAATTATTTATGTCTTTTAAAAATAAGATGATCACTGTTGTATTTAGACTTATAGTTAACTATCATTAAATACATATTTCATGACTCTACATTTTAGAGTATATTTGTCTACTTTTTAGAACATATTTAGTTCTGAACTTGTTATCTCGAAAACTCTCTATCTCAAATTTTTTTTTTTAACTGTCTCTTTGAGATATCGAGAGTATATTGTAAACGTTAAAAATGCTTATCAGAGAAACACGGCTCTTCAATGTTAAATTTAGTAATTTTTAATCTAGGCAAAATACTAATGTAATTTTTCATAAATGAGAGTTATTGACTGCTCATTGGAGTGACTGTAAACACCTAGTTCGGAAGACTTGGTTCACCTTGTCATGCCATGATCGATGATGATGATCATTCATTCAATTATTTGTTATTAGGGTTTTTTTTCACACACATTTGAATAGAATAAATTTAGACAAGTAATGAATAATTAGTGAGATAAAAATTTAATTGCAGGTTTAAAAAATAACTGGTAGAAAAAAACCAAATTTTCAGAACCGCTTTTGACCCTCCTACGGAACCTTAAGGTTCCGATGAACACCTTTTGAGAACCGCTGCATTCCATTGTTCTTAGAGGGTTTTGTATATTGAATCTTTTTTTTTAAATTGTAGATCAAATAATGTTTGTTTTTTTATTAATCAAGTTCGTGCTTATGAACTAGTGAGAGGAAATCTGTTTTCTTGTTTCAAAGTTTATGTGAAATTGAATTTAGATTGCTTGTGATATTAACCATCTTTTTTAAATTTTTTGTGATGTTGGTTGATTATATGCTTGAATTTCTTTAAAGGTTTTGTATATAATTATGATTCATTAATGTGTATTCAATTGTGTATTATCTAACTATATAATCATTTTTGAGAGTACTATTTCTATGCGTAGTAATTCGGTTGATTCCAAACTACGTAAGTTAGGGTTATATTATTCTTCTTGTTTAAAAGCTGCTTTGTCATTTTTTTTTATATTGCAAGCATTTGTTTTTGATCAATTTACTCCAAATATTATATTAGATTAGATTAATTTACTTTAATTACCACAGTTATTAAAGAAAAAAAAATCTATCTTAAAATATTGTGTGAGTTCTCTAAAATAAAATTGATCTCTTTTTTTTTAAAAAAATTGCTTTTGCTTTATGTTAATGTTCCAAATTTTATTTTTTTTATTTGCACATTTTAGTAAAACCTTTTTATTAATTTTTTCATCTTGTCTTCTGAATTTTATAGCCTTTGATCTAGTATATTTATAGAAACTAATCTTCTGTTATTTTTGGATATTTTACTTACAAAAATTATTTAAGTAATCCTTAGAATAGGTTCA